TCGTCTGGCTCTCCGTGGACTGCGGGGTGGACGGATTCAACAGAGGCGGGCTGGGAGAGAGCTCCTCCTGGCTCCTAGGGAAGGAAGGGCACGGTGTCGTGCGCCCCGGCGTGGGGAACCTTTGCAGAACCTACGTAACGCCTGACAGCCTCAAATGTGTGGCAGCACAGTGCGCCGGGGACACTGGGGACCTGGAGGTTCGGAGTAGGGCATGGGACAGGCCTCTCCCCTAGGCGACAGCAACAGGAAAGGAAGACAGGCTGAGAGAAGACATCACGAGGCAGCGAGAGAGCCAGGAGCCACGAAGGGAGGAGGGATGAAGGGAATGGTGGCCGCGCAGAGCACAGCGTGGCCAGGGGGAGCTGGCGGTGCCCTCGGCGGGGAGGGGGCAAAGGCAGGGGGTGAGCAGGCAGGAGGGGACGGACGAGTGGCCATCGCGAGACAGACCACGCAGGAGAGGCACGAGGGAGCAGCAGCAGCGTGTGCAGATGGGAGAGACGGTAGGCAGGGGGCCTTTGGTTTCCCTCCAGAGAGAGAGACGTGGGCGCACTTGGTCTGCGACGGGGCGCACGCGGTGACACAGCCCCGCAGAAGGGAAGGAGCCTTGACTGAAGGCCACGGGTGGCTGGCCCTTCACAAGCCTCCTCGCGGAATAGTAACTGCTCCAGGAGGCCATGCTCTCCCCCCGGAGCCCCACCACCAGCAAGCGAGGGAGCTACGCTCAGACCCCCATCTCCTACCCCTCAGGCCGTGCTCCCCTCACTCCACTGTTCTGGGGAACGGGGAGAGCCGCTCAACATCCACCCACGGTCCCCATGCTGGGACTTACCTACTGCTGCTGGTGGCACTTTCCTTAATGGGAAGAAAAAATTTGGACGAAGTCACCTTTTTATACTGAACTTGTTCGTATGGGTACAGCAAGAGCAAGGGGAGAGTATAATCAAAGGTTATTCTTAATCCGTCCACCATCTCCTTGCAAAGGTCCACGCTGGAAGGATGAAAAGGAAGCGCTCAGTGATGCAAGACACAGAACTTGCCCAACGGTCACAATGAGGTGGTACGTTTTTAATAAGGCAGAGTTTTAAACACTGTATATTACACCCACACACCTGAGGAATAAAATGAATCTAGAGGCCAACAACAACCAAGAATTAAATAGGAACAGTGGGCTTATGATAGAAAGTGCAGGGCGTCTGTAGAGATTTTAACTTACAACCCTGAACACACGAGTGCGCTCACTGCCCCACAAGGAGCCCAAGCGGAAGGGGCGGGACCCATGAATGCCTCACCCCTGTGTGAACTTGAACACTCTACTTGTCCAACTCTACTCCATCCGGCTGAGACGCATGCGCCGAGGCAGACCACGGGGCCAGTTACTCAGGCCAGAATAAAGGCCTGTTTGTAAACAGGCTTTGATTAAATCCTCCCTGCCCCTTCTGGTGCTTCTCACGAAACAAAGTTACCTCCAGAAATCAGATCCCTGCACAAACTGGTCCTGGTGTTGCATCCAGACCAGATGCAGTTATTGAACATTTAAAAAAAAAAAAAAGAACATTTTGATACTAAGTTGCATATTAAGTGACATGTTAAACGAATTCATAATACTGAAATGGAGACAGTGTTACCTCTTCTAAGTAACAGTCACTTCTCTGATACACAAGAAGAGAACCATCCCATGCCAGCCCCCCTCTCCCACTCACTTCTTTTCTGCTGGGATGTAATTCACATTCATGCTGGCTTGGGACATGGCGTGATGATGCCGGGGCCGCTCAGTGGCGGAAAAGGCTGCATTGATCGCGAAATGCTTCACGTACGATTCCAAGATCGTGATGATGTTGGTCTGGCACGGAAGTTTCACTAACTGTCAACAAAAACAGACCCAGCTGCCGCACACATCCCACCGGATTGGCCACCTACTCCCATGATGGGCAAACTGCGGCTCGAGAGCCACATGCGGCTCTTTGGCCCCTTGAGTGTGGCTCTTCCACAAAATACCGACTTCTGCGCATGGGCCACAAAGTTTCAATCGCACTTTGAAATAAATACACTTTGAAGCTCTCGGATGGGTTTTTGTGTACCATCAGAGCACCCTGTACATTACAGCATTCATTTTTTAAATGAATGCGAGCAGCGAGTCTCCTGTTAGCCATCAGAATCACCTGGGGAGCCTCGCAGACTAGCTCCACAGCCACCCCCACCACACAGCCCATGGGCGCTTACCCTCTGAGTGCAAGCCCAGGCATCCGGTCTTTGCAAAGCTCTCAGAGGGTTCACCCGGGCAGCCAGGCTGGGCAAGACCGTGCACACTTGAATTCCATCAGCAGCAGGGCGCTACTGTCAGATAACTTTGAGACCTGACTCGGTCCACACCTTACCATGGAAGTTTCATCGCCCCAGGGTTCTCAAGGATTGGACTCTGGGATTACGTTCTATCCGACGCCCATGCGTACCCGTTTCCTCCTGTTGATGTAGTAGCAATCGTCCTCCAGCTTCTTCTTCAGAACGTCGGGGATGTCTATAGTGATTGCTCTTTCGTCCATCGCCCTTTTCCTGCGCGGCTCCAGTTGTCCCTTCTGCGACATTAAAATTGCGTATTTTTAAAACGTCTTGAAACAGGAGGAGAGACCATGTCCAGAGGACGAACACTTGAAAGCCTCTATGATACAAAGCCAGTTAATCCTCCACATGTACCCCGGTAATGATACGTGTTCTGATGAAAAGTGCATGAAAGGCCACATTCGCTCGTTTTAGGCCACTAACCGCATTGCAAATGCTTTCTTTTCTCCGCATTTCATTTCACAAGTAGGACGGAAGGCAGGCAGGAGATGCTAAACTGATACACAGCATTTAGAAATAGTCACCATTGTAACAGTCAAGTTCGCAATGTCATTGAAAAGTAACAGGTCACTATGACTTGTGCAAATACTTTATGGCTGTAAAGAGCCACTGAGAGGGCCATCCGGTGACTATAAACGAGTTACTTTCCCTTAAATATGAAGTGCGACTTTAGAATATTTGGTTAAAAATGTACTTTTACCAAATGATTCACGACTGGAGAGTTCTACCACTAAAATCAACACCAAAGAGTTTGCACAATGAAACCTTTACCACTTCAGTCTTTTCTTCAATGTCACTTTCTTCACTTATTGCGCCATCCTTTTCTTCACTGCTGTCACCAGAGGAAGTGCTTACAGCTAGGTGAGACACAAACACCAAGCAAGCCTGGGTTAGCCACCTCCCCAGCTCTTCCAGGTCCTTAGGGTGGGATGTGTCCTACTGCCGGTATCCACCAACTGCAGTCCTACATATATTTTAAATGCTGAATGCAAACATCGTACCTTTCAGAATGGAAATTTATTTGGAAAAACATAACACCGATTTCAATGAATGCAAAACACACCCAAGAAAATGATCTGAGCCCTAGCCGGTTTGGCTCAGTGGATAGAGTGTCAGTCTGCGGTGGACTGAAGGGTCCCGGGTTTGATTCCGGGTCAGGGCAGAATGCCCCGGCTGTGGCTCAATCCCCGGTAGGGGGTGTGCAGGAGGCAGCCGATCCATGGTTCTCTCTCATCATGGATGTTTCTATCTTTCTCCCTCTCTGAAATCAATAAAAATATATTTTAAAAAAGAAAAATAAAGACAATGATCTGAAAGTGTTTAGTCATCTAGGATCCCACGGTTACCTGCTGCGTTGGAAAGTGAGGCCCAGGCCCAGACCCAGGCCCAGGAGGTACCATAAGAATGGACTCCTGAGGGATGAGTATAGACACTGGCCGAGCAGGCAGCGATCAGAAGCATGTCTGATGAGGACGAATTATGAACTTAACGACTGCTAACTTACTTGTCAAAATCGAAAGGGGCAAATATCGTATGTAATGAGCTAAAAACCTTTCCCTGTGTAATTTCAATGATTCCTCCCCCTCAGTCCTGCAGTATAAAAGAAGTAGGTGAAAGTTCTTTTATTATTATTTTTTAAATATAGTTTTATTGACTTCAGAGAGGAAGGGAGAGGGAGAGGGAGAGAGAGAAACATCAATGAAGAGAGAGAATCATGGATCGGCTGCCTCCTGCACGCCTCCTACAGGGGATGGAGCCTGCAACCCGGGCATGTGCCCTGACCGGGAATCGAACCGTGACCTCCTGGTTCATAGGTCGGCGCTCACCACTGAACCATGCTGGCCGGGCGGTAAAAGTTCATTTAACCAGAGAAAATAACAAAATAACTCAGGCCACTCACAGTTCTCATCACTTTTATCTTTTTCTTCAACGGGGAGGCTTTTTAAGACAGAATCGACACCAGGCAATCGGCAGCGCTTCTTCTTTCTTCCTGTGCTTCTGGAAAACAAACAAACAAAAAAACACACGACTGAAATAAATTTTGATGTTGACTGATAAGGGTCTCAAGGTAAAAAAACAAGATAGAACAACAAAGATTCTTAAGCACCCGACAAATAATTAAGCTGTAGAACATAAACGGTGATCTCCACTTCAGATTATTACATATATACAACATCTCCTTGGAAAACACAGCAGTTATTTACAATACAACACAGACACTCTTTGCGAACACATTTTTAGTACGTCCAATTGCATAATAAGCCATGCTTGTCATATGTTTACTGTTATAGCCTAAAAATTCTACACATTAAGAGAAAACACATTTGTCAGGATTGTTGTATTCTCACAGGCGAGCTACAGCTTTTCTTGCCAGTTTCCGCTGTAATCTCCGATTTTCGTCGGTATCTCGCAGGACATGATCTTCAGCTGCCCACCTATCCCAGCTACAAAACAAACAAAAAAGGATAGAAAATTCAGTATTTTAATTCGCTATAAAACAAATGCCAACAGCACCTCACAGGAACAGAAGTGTCCCAGAATTACTTACATTTTGGAAAACGATTTAAATATTTTAAAGCCACCAAAAATGCAAATAAACTGAAAAAGGAACTCATTTAGCCATAGAAGCAACTGGGGCTTCCAGAATTACCCATAGAGAACTCAAATATAATCAACTTAAAAGTTATCATTCTTCTGCATAGGCAAAGTTTGATTTCAAAAAGCAAAAACTGGACATGAAACTTTTCTACAAGTGTTTCCAAAACTTAACAAAACCCCAGGTTCCTGTGCTGCAAAGATGATCAATTTTCAGCCAGATCTAACAAATACACTCACCTTCTGTTCCAACCATTAAAATGGATTAGATATTCTGGAATCTTTCTGCCTTTTTCGTCTTTCCCAACAATAACATCCACAATCTGAAACCAGAAAATATTGTCCACAAATGATTGAATATACAGAACACCGGAAGCTAGATCAGGAAAACTAGATCATAGACCTTTTTTGAAAAGAAAAGGAAGTATTCGCTCCTTTTTTAGACCGCGAGCTGTGCTGAAACATTTTTCCTTTCAATTCCATTTTTTTCCTGACTGGATGCCTCAAAAAAGGAAACATCCCTCCAAACTCCCCGTGATTGGTCTCTGAGTGTGGGACTGGGTGCGTCTTTTAAAGCCATTGGCCAGCCAACTTGTCAGTAAAGCAGAGTCCTGGCCAGACAAGAGAGCTGCAGCCTGAGACCTCTGGGAGTTGTAGTCTCTCCAGCTCCACTGTGTCCCCAGAGGGAACATCTGGGGCAAATGATGGGGCGTGTCACCCCAGGGGATACTCATGGCGGGGAAGGAGGAGGGAAATCAGAGACAAGGGTTTCCGGGGCATAACCCTAAAATATAACTCACAGAACCCGGGGTCTTGGGAAGTCCCCCAATGGGCAGCGCTGCTCGGACGCACCTGGGACCCCGGGCCAACCCCACCACCAGACTGCGATGCCCACTCCCTCTCGCCGTCCGACCTGAGGGGCTACAGATGGGGCTCAGTCCCCCGCGAGCCCCCTGATGGGCAGGGGGTGCGACTTGGAGATTGAAAACCTAAAGGCCCTGAGGGAAAGTAACACTGGGTCAACCTAGCCCTTGGACCCTACGGGAGGGTCCCAAGCACGACTGAGGCCCCGGGACAATGACGTCGCGAGTCGACAGGCAGCGCTGTGGCTTAGGACCTGAGTCGGTCGGTGTCTGTGTCACAGGGGAGCCCACGAGGCGCTCCGCGCAGGACGAAAGGACTTAAGGCGCCATTCCGTGAGCGGTCTCCTGGACACACAGCCCACGCTGCGGTCACTTACGCAAATCGACGCACGGCGAAAACCTCGCGAAACCTCGCGACCTTTCAGAC